ACAGGGCAGGACCAGCTTGTTCCTTTTCGTGGTGCCATTGTCAAAGCAGCCGCAGCCAGAGCTCCACCCCGAGGAGTGCAGCTCGTCCTTGAGGTTGGGCATGGGCAGCCGGTGGATCACCTAAGGCGGCCAAGGCAGAGTTAGGGGGGGGGAGGGAGGAAAAACGGCAACGGCGCTGCTGGAGGGGCCGGGGGGGGCTCAGGGGGCTTGGAAGGGACTTTTCCTTCGAAATCCTCGCAGCCCTGGGGCTGCTCAGGTGATCTCTGCACCCTGCGTGGACAGAGGGTGTCTTGGCAGCCTCCAGGGGCAGGGAATGCCCATCTCCCAGCTGGGATGGGAGCAGGAATTGTGAGGGAACATCCCTGGCGTTGCAGCACGAGGGAGACCTGCTGGAATCTGCTCAGGACACCTGAACCCCCCCGGGACACCCCCTTCTGTTCGCCCTCCTGCCAGGTGGATTCCCAGCTCGTGCCCACAAGGGCACCAAGGCTGTCTGGAAGGGAGTTGGGAAGCGACTTGTCCTCCACACCGAGGTGGAGATGATCCAGGCACACAGGGGAGAGAGAGAGAGGGGAGAGAGCAGGAAGGTGGGAATCCAAACAGAAACCATCCCTGACCAGTGCAGGACAACCAGGGGAGGAGAAAGGAGTCCTGACAACACTCCCAGGTGGCTCCTGCCAGGACAAGAGCAGGGGACAAGGAGCAGGATGAGAGAGATGCAGGGAGAGGAGGAGGTGCCAGGCAGGGGCTGAGAGAAACCTGCATTTCCCCAGCACACCAGAGTAAATGTCCTGACCCTGGAGGCCTCTGAAGCAGAAGAACCAGCAGCAAGTCATCAACCCAGCAAGAGCTGAGAGGAGCAGGTACCTGGCCATAGCAGGGAGACCTGGGGTTCAGGTCCACGGTGGCCAGGAAATCAGGCTGGTCGATGCAGGTGGATCTGTAGGTGCAGGTCACGTAGGCGACCTCCTCCCGAGGGGCTGGGACACAAAGCTTGGCTTAAAAACCACCCCCAGCACCGAGCAGAGGGGACAGCAGGAGCTGTCAGCAAACTGCCAGCCGGGGCTGAGCCGATGCTCTGCACCCACGGGGTCTGTCCCGCTGGGGAAGGGGCTCAGAGCCCATCAGCTCCCGCGGGGGCCACACACCCCCAGCCCTCCCCCAGCCCCCCTGTGCCACCCCCTGCCCAGCACTTGCCTTTGGCCACCTCGGGGCAGCAGGTCGGGTACTCGTAGCACTGAGCTCTGCATCTGTCTGGGGGGCAGAGCAGGGAACGTGAGCCCCGGGCCGGGCCCGCAGCTCCAGGGGCTCCCGTGCCCGGGCTCTGAGCCAGCCCGGGGACCTTCTGCCAGCCCGGCTGGC